TGAACTCCCCGATAAATGGAAAAAATGGCAGAAAGTCAACTCCATCCATCCATCGTCAACCGCTTATCCTGCGTACAGGGTCGCGGGGGGCTGGAGCCAATCCCAGCTGACATCGGGCGCAAGGTGGGGAACACCCTGGACAGGTCGCCAGTCCATCGCAGGGCCGAAAGTCAACTCATAATGTGAAATATAAGTGAATATGACATCTCTTCTCACTCTTAAATAATTTATGGATGGTAAAATGGTGAAATGAAAACTCACTATCCCATTTTGTAATACGTTTTTTGGATTTTTTATAGGCCTTTTTCACAGCAGACACGTTGACACATCACAGTAGAAAAAGCAAGTATAAATAATAAAAATTCAGTGTCCTGGTGTTGTTTATGCTGGCTCACTGTCACACTGTCATGGCTTCCTGGGACACTTGAATAGAACAGTACCATCGTTAATGTCTCTTAGTAACAACCGCACTCTTCCAATCAATATGTTTCCTGGAAAAAAAACAACAACTTTTAAACAACAGGAAGAAGACATTCAAGACAATGGGACTGTTAGCCATAGCTACATATTGATAAGGGCTAATTCACTGATTTGTATAAGTGTAATTTATATTTCGGGGTGTGTGAATGGTGCATGTGTTCATGAAAGATCAAAAATACAACTTTGGTATTATGTTATACTTATGCTCCAGGTATTAATGTTTCAAACCCATTGAACTGACCGCTGCTTTGACAGCTGTCGTGACATTCAGTTGTCATTCAAGTTTTGAAAAGTTGTTTAAATTACAAACGAAAGGTCTCCATATTTGTTATAGTCACATCAAGCTCTTCGTGATTCATGACAGTGCTAAAGTGAACTGAAGTGTTTAAAGTTACATTAGCGATTTCAGGATAAAATCAATTGGTTCCTTTTTCATGTGAAAGCATATTGTTGATCCCACTTATAATCAACACCCAATTATACAGCCTTTTACAACTTTTAGCTACAGGTCTGTATATGATAAGCCCCAAAATAAACCAGCAAAGAGAGCCATGCTGCGTAATTTAAGAACACTTTATCAACTACTGACTGATGTTATGTGATTGAAAACTTTGTTGGTTAATGTTTGTGAAGGTCCTCAGTCATCCAGGTCATAGTAATCCAAAGAAGGTTATCAATGTGGTATCGATGATCTTGGCAAACAACTTGATTTTAACCTTCTTTGGATTTATCAGTTAATCCGTATCCGTAAGAAAACGTTCTAAATGTCATGATGCTAGATTAGATCATCAGAAAGTGAGACAGTACTCAAGGCTGTTTGAAAAGTTAGTTGTAGAGGGCATCTGGCCAAAGCTCAGCCTGTTGTAATCATACAGCAGAGCCCAACAGCCCTGGCAGGCCGAGGTGCACTTCTCATGTAACGTCTCATTGATAAGAGCAGCAAACACCTCATTTACAGGAACCTTAGACTATAAGATCAGGTACTTTAAAAGCCATCCAAACACATTCAGACCCTGTCTGTGTGCCTGCAAATAAAACACCTTGATATCGCCCCAACTAAACTAGGATGATTCTGTCTTAATGTCCCATTTCAGGGACCAAGGAGCCCATAGTCTTTATGGCTCCACAGAATTGCAGGTACTAATGTTTGACACAGCAGGGCTACTGCCTTTCAGATGATCAAAGTGACAAGTTCAGCGTGCAACCAGAGCCACTTACAGGAGACATCAAGAAGCAGCAAGATTGGCAGCTTTTAGGTCTTTGGTCCATTTCATCAGCCATTACTACCAGCAGAGGCGACGTGCTGTGGAGGACTAGTGGGAGGAGGGGAAGGCAGATTAACAGACAGCTGATACAGGTGTATAGGCGGTATCAAACAGCAGCTCTGTCAATACAGCAGGCTCCAAATTCTTCAGAAGGGGCTGGGATCCCCAAAGTATGCCCACCGATTTCACTATGACAGGATTAACTTGGAGCTCTGTATGATTTTCTCAGATTCTGTGACTCAACAATTCAGTGATCCACGTTCTATCGGCTTTAAAGGCCCCTATCCCAAGTTTCAAAAGCTTACCCTTCGGACAAGGGACACTCTCTTTTTCTCCCACATGGTTCCGCTTTCCCTTTTTTGCTGCATTCAGTTGTTCATCAACCGGTGCATCCTCGCCAGCTCTCCCATCCTCCCTTCTCTGCACATCTGCTGGGTTTGAGTTTTCCTTTCTTCCCTCCAGCGCCTTGCTTGGCCCAAGGCCCTTACAGCCAAATTGGTTTACATTGGAGAGATAAATGCTCTGCAAATGCGCTTAAACACGTACAGTAAAAAATGCAGACAGTGCGTGTCAGGATTATCACCCAAGTCAGAGGGAGAAAGAAGAGCGTCTCTGTAGCACAAAGCTGGGGAGCCAGAGTGAAGCCTGCAGATATAGTCCGTCTCATCCACTTCTCAGGAGAAAGAGAGGAGGATTTAGCATTTGCATGCTAGTCTGTAATTCCTGGCATTATATAACTTGTCGGCAACAATCAAACTCCTGTGGTATTGTGAAAGTATTGTTTCACATGGGTGAGCAAAGTGTGGAGTTACACTCTTGGGGGAAGGGGTTTTCAGTGGCAGCATGGAGAAAGCTGGTCCAAGATGCATGGCAGAGACCACCCTCTAAGCCCAGTCAAGAACTATTCTGCAACACAACCTCAGGCCCAACTACAGAAGGTAAACCTCAAATCTTCTCAAATTATTCAGCTTAGAGCATAAATGACTCACATGAACATGGAGAGTGATATGTTAAAAGCGGCTGATCCAAAGTGGTACGGCTATAGAAAGAAAATTAAATACAAATTTTTAGCCCCAAAGATCAGGTCTGCTTGACCATACAGATGGTTATTAAAGAAGACTCTTATTGCATTGCTAAATTGCATTTAGTATTTATTTTGTTTTAAATAAAAAGCATTTCTTCTAAGACATAAATCTTTAAAAAACAGTCAATAACATATACTTTAAATTTCAAATAAAGACTCAAATAATTTTCTTGGGCACTGAAGTTTTCAGTAAATGTTCTTAACAGGAGTAGATAATGACAGGTGAATACACATTTTGTTCTTTAGTGAGTATTTACGACAGCAGGCCTGGATAGTGTATGTGGGATACCCTGCAATGGTCTGGCTCATTGATTTGTTTTGTTTAAAAGCTTTCAGACAACAATGCAGGTCACATGACACATGAATAAGCTCTAACAGGTTGTGGCTAAAAAGACAATACTTAACAAAATCTATTTGTTTTTGTTTTTTACAGATCTCTATACTCAGGTCTCAATACAGATAAACTAGATTCTGAAGATTCAGGAAACAGCTTTCTCCCTCCCCACCTGCTGCTGGTTCTGTTGCTGTCGTCCCCTGGGGGACACCAAGCTGCTGTCCCTGTCCGCTTGAATCAGTGTAAAACCCCTTCACATGCTCTGCCATGGGGATTTGGATGTAAAACTTCCAAGAAAGACCACATATACCCCCTACCCCACCCCCAAAAAGCCCCCCTTTTCTCATCCCTACGACCTACCCCTCCCTCCAAATCAGCGCCGTCCCCCCCAGACCTCACATCACAAAGCCCTCAGAGCAAACCCAGCACAGAAATCATCGCACACCATTCAATCATTGTTTTTTCCCCTCTCTCACCCCTTTTATGGTCCCACTAAAGGTTTTAGCCGGGCAGAGAAGGAGGGCTGTCACTGAGGAAACCTTAGCCCATTGATGAAGTGACAGGAGCTGCCAGAATATGATCCTAATCCCGTTTCCAGCATTCTTTTAGCCCGCTGGCATCGCAATTCCTCCACACATTCTCTGAGCTGTCAACTAAGAAAATCCCTCTAATAGCGCATTGCCCAGATACACATCAAAGAGCTCCTGGAAACCTTCAGCGGCTTAGCTGCCATAGACACACTCACACACACTCTCTCTCTCACACACACACAAACACACTACTCCCATTAATTTACACCCAAATGATTTTTTCAAACCCACAAAACCCAGATATCGATGACAAATTGACCCCGAATTTAAAGAGAATGCCTGAAAAAAGCCCAAGGGTATTCGTAAGAGTTGTCCCCCAAATTATTTTTATGCTCTGTAACCTGCTCCATCCTAAACCACCCACCCCTCTCACCTCCCTCTCCCTAGTTAGACAGTGATATAATCTTTACGGTCATGGAGCGAGGAAGCGGGAAAAGACCAGGAAAAAACAGGTGTCTGAACTTTGCTGACTCCAGGAACCCTTTCAGTCCCATTTTATCTCATTCTATTCTTACTTAATCCATCGATATCCCAACCAAAGGTAATCTTCTTATTGCAAAGCATTCTGTTTCGGTGCAGCCGAACCTCGGCTGACAGGGTGGGGGAGGAGAGGGGAGCGGAGAGAAAGAGGGAGAGAGAGTGAAGAGTAGGTGGGTGGGTGGTGGATTGGAGACTCTTTAGAGCCTGACACTGTGCTTCAGTCATTTCATTTAGGATTAGTTATTCTGCACTGTGTGAAGTGGCAGGTTCTCCCCTATGTGGTGTGTAAACCTCACCATTGAGGATGGCGGACCTCCTGTGTCTAAATTATTTACGGTTCTTCAAGGTGTCTTCAGTGGAACATATTAACCGAACTTATTTTTTTTTACCATAAAGGGTTGAAGGTGATGAGTGGGGAAATCAGAACTGTTTATTAAGATTCAGTTTTCTGTCCGTCCCTCTCAGCGCTGTCAGCCAGCCAGAGAGGAGTTGGATTCGGCACACCCTAAACTAATCCCTCTCTTGTTACCAACTTCCTCTCTCTCTCTCTCTCTCTCTCTCTCTCCCTAGAGAGACTTGGAGAAAATGTTTTTGGGTTTCATTTTTTTTGATTTTCAGTGCTGTTGTCTGTGTGAGTGCATGGTTGTGTGCATACTGTTTGGATGTCCTGCTATGGAATTATTCCTGGTTCACGATCTGGACATTAAAGAAAACCTGCCATTACAAAAAATATTTTATGACATTCACACATCGGTTTTTATTTCCTCATTCAACCCCACATATCTAATTTCATACAAGAAAGGTTGCGTCATGTTTGTTCTTTTCTTGTGTTTTTAGTTACAGGTTTTGTTTTTCAGGGATGATTTCTTGAGTGATTTATTTTAGATTAAAGATCCTTCCTTTCCTCTGGAAAATGTCAAAATGAGGCAGTGGGAGTCAGTGCAAGCAAATATTTTCATATTCAAACCAACAACACTGAGTACATGAGTCATTCTTATTTGTGTGATTTATTCCCTTGCATTAAACAGATAAATTACTCACATTTTAAACAATTAAGAAATACATGTCTTGAATCTACAGTGATATAATACATAATGAATGGGCTTGTGCATCTTTTTGCTGAAGCTCAGAAAAAGAGTTCACTCCGGTAACCAAGTGAACAAAATATATATCAGCTGGGTTCATATTTATTTGTCACTGTGCCTCAACAGATTCTCCCCTTATCATTAGGTCCTTTGCTTAAAGCCACAAGTGAAAAATAAACTGAACGTTTCCTCTCAAATCCTTCATACAAAAGGAGACATGGAGTTTCTCTTTAGCCAGGCAGATGGGGGCGAACCCAGGGATATTTACAACGCTCAATGGATTCTTGCACGCTGAGCTGAGTGCTGTAACTTTAAACAAGGAGAGTCATTTGTTATCTACTGTACACCAAATACAGTTGGCTTGCGGATTATATTGAGTGATCTGAGCTTTGCTTCAGATATCAGATCTGATGTGACTTCATTCTGTGTCTTGCTGTAAGCCATGCTTCAGAAGGGTGCATGCATGCATAGTTCACGTTCAGTGGTTGATTTTATAGAATATTTTAATATCTTAGATCTGTCCTGGGATGAGACAGACAGCTCTGCAGTTCAAGACTTCCTGCCCCGACTTCACGGAGGAGGCTGAAATCACAGTGAGCAGCCAGCATTAGTAGAGTTGGCTTGTGTTGTTGACCAGGAGTCAAGCAGAAATCCACAGGCAAAAAGTACTGTTCAGTCACAAGTGCAGTCCAGGTGGGCTTTTTTATAATCTTGTTTTCTATTCAGTCTAAAAGATGTTCTTCATGTTCTGGTGTGCTCCCAGCAGTGAGCTGCATGGTCATGTGACGACAGGTGAAGAGGTCGACAACCAGAGGACCTAAACTGAGGAAAGGCGCCTAAAGTTCCTGCTTTTTGTGGTCATCATGTGTGCCTAAAAATATGTTATTTCTACTGTTTGTCATACTGCTTTGGTTTTGAAATTGGGTTTGAAATCTAGAAAACTGCAAATATTCTCACCAGTTGCTCAGTTAAATGACATGAAACAAGCACAAATTTGAAGTTTTGACAGATTTTGAAGAGAGGACTGAAATAATGGTAGCGGCCAAAATCTGGGGTATTTCTAATGAGGTTTTGGAGATGTGTTTGAGCTTCCTGGATACAGATAATGGCTGACAGCGGTAAGAGGTCAAGAGGAACGTGAAGGGGGGCCCAGAGTCACCTCCTGTGGACAGGGCCCATAATTCAGGTATGGCCCTGACTAGAGGGCAAACACGTAGACTGAGTAGCCTCAGTTGGGGAGTGTGTCCAGTCCCAGCGAGGCTGCATGTTGCTTGGCTCTCAGACGGAGGTTCTCAATGCTGGTGGTCTTGCTGTTGAGGCTTGCAGGGAGGCTGCCCGGTGGCGCCTGCAGCAGCGGGCTGTTCCATACCTGCTGGGCCTGAGACAGGGTCTGGTAGTACGACTGGCAGGGCAGCGAACCCAGCGGGGACGGCATGTTGACGTTCATGCCCAGATAGGGCAGAGAGGATGGTGTGCTCATGTCAAAGGACGGGTAGTGCACTAGGTTGTTGGTGGCGGCCATGTGCTGCCGAAACTGCTCCTGCAGCCGGAAGAGGCTGAGAGGAGACGAAGCGTAGGAGTTGCTTTGCGCCAAACCGCTGGTCGTGCTGCTGGAGGATGGCAAGTTGGGGGAGCACAGAGGAGAGTCTGAGAGACAGGAAGAGAGGAGGAGATTCATTTTTGTTTAGTATTTAGATGCCATTTCAGTAAAGTATCTTGTACACGACTATGTTCAGATTCATAAATGTGACATATAATCAGGGAATATAAAAGGAAAAGCAGCTCCATTTATCAGACAGCGATGTTTTTACCTGATGTGGGGCTCAGCCGTTTGCAGGATGGGGAGCTGCTCGCCTGTTGTACTCCCCCCTCCCCCTGCGTTTCCTCCCTCAGCTTCCCCCTTGCCTCCCCTCTCATTTCATCCTCCTCTCTGTCAGCATTATCTTCTGCTGCTGACTCGCTGTCCGATGGCTCGGGGGAGGTGACGTTGACTTCCACGCTCATCTCTCCAGGCTGGGGCTGTGCGGCTGCCAGCCTCTCTGTCTCTGAGTGACAGGACGAAGAGGAGGAGGGAGGGGGAGGGGTGCGAGCCTCAGGAACCAGGGTGTTGGTGTTGCTGTTGAGGTCCGTCTTGGAGTCCTCTGTGGAGCCCTCTGCAGCTCCGGACACCTCTTTCTGTTTCTGGAGCTGCTCCTTCTGCAGGCTGCGTTGCTTCTTGCGAAACTTGGCCCGGCGATTCTTGAACCAGACCTGGCAGATAGATGGATGGACAGATCAGTGCTTGAGTCAAGGACTAAAACTAAGTGGACAACTTTAAAGCACAGCATATGATCGCCTTGTCTTTACATTTTGCCTATCCATTTAACCTTTTAACGATTTAAGATTTCCTTAAGTTCATCTCTTAGCCTTTAAGCCGAGCAGTGCAACAGGCAAACGGTAGGCCTACACAGGATAAATGCATTCTGAGGGTTTTTTTACCTGAACGCGTGCCTCAGGCAGGTTGGTGCACATGGCCAGACGTTCACGCATCACCACATCAGGGTAGTGGGTCTTCTGGAAAGTTTTCTCCAGGGCCTCCAGCTGCTGGGCGGTGAAGGCTGTCCGACTGCGCCGCTGCTTTCGGTGCTGGGAGCCATACCGGGCCTCTAGGATAATGTCTTGAAATGTGCAGCCGTTGAGAAACAAGAAACACGACACAGTTTAATTGAAGGACGGGTCAAAGGACATTCAAGCACCCAGAGATCAGTACACATTGAACGGGTGCTAACACACAGTTAAAATGTTCAGTCGTTGCTTGTAAAAAAATGGAAGAGGTGAAAGACATTGGATCATTGGATCAAACACTGAGCAACAAAATGAGAAACTGATTCTTACCAGCCAGTCTCTCTGCCAGAGTGAGGGCATGCACGGAGGGCCTGTAGTCAGGTGCGTGCTGGGCCTGTTGCGCCGCCTGCTGGTGAAGGTTGTACATGGCGCTCAGTGAATTCATGGCGTGCAGAGAGTAGCCGTTCACCCCGTAGTGCTGCATGGCCGGCGAGCAGTCTGCAGAGAGGGCGACAAGCAGCAGTGAGAGTCAGACCTCTTTACTAAAAAAAAATAATCTTTTCTAGTTATAGCGTTATTAAAATGCGCAATCTTCAATGCTTTTATGATGTTTGCTGTAGCCTGACTAACTGAAATGGCAACAGGTGAACTACACACATTAAAGATTGCGCTCCAAAGGAAAAACTATTCCCTTATTGAATCAAAAATAAGAGTTAGGGTAATTCTAATAGTTTCAAAAGAGATTCAGAATTTTGCAGACAGGGTTTGTTTTTAAGCATAATGAAACGGATTTTATTTTAGGAAAGAGCGTTTTTTCCCACGAAGGATTTGCCACCATCAGCGGCACTTACACCGTTCAGAAAAATAAAATATAGGCTATATTTATTTGAAACTTGAATTAGCCTTTGTATTTACCATTTGATCAAAGCTTTCAGGAAGTACAATGTTTGTTTTTTCTATCCACAGCGCAAGATGAACAGTGGTGCAGAAAATGTAGCTTATCCAAATATTTTGTCAGTTCCGTTCAGCATTGAAAAATACAATGTAGCCTATATTTTGCATTTTACTCACTCAAATAAAATGTAGCATCTGCCTACTACAACAGTTAAAAAGTGGGCTACACTATTGTGCACATTTGGTCAATTAACATGCTCACAGTAAGCATTAAATCCGTGCTGAAAACAATAGTCTGATAATTGTCTAATTTGGACATAGTGGTACACAGATATGGTGTGAAAATTAATTAAGTGTCCGATACCTGTATCATTTATTATTATTATTATTATTATTATTATTATTATTACTACTACTACTAGGCTATTAAGCAAATTGATCAACGATTGGTCAGGCTGGTAAAAAAAAACAAAAAAAAACATAGGCTACATCTTACCGTCCACACAAAACAAAATAGGCCCATTTAAATTTATTCTGACCATTTTGCTGTCTTATTTCACCATCTACGATTACATTTTCAGTCTGAAGAGTTTTTAATTGAAAATATTTATTTTGTGCGCTCTGTGGCGCTGAAACGCCGCTGAAGCTCCGCAGGCTGGACTGACAGCAGGTGCCACAACGTATTTACTTTGCTCCCTGAGAGTTTGACTCGAGTGGGGGGGGGGCGTTTATTTCAATCTGTGGCGGGTCCCAAGTCAGTTTCCGGTGGCTGGAGGCTGACGGAGATGTGTGACAGGTCTTCAGTGAAATGTGCACAAGATCCCCAGTTGGGCTCCCCTCTAATGTGGGTGCAAATAGGTTCCAACTACACGAGGCTATTAATTTATCATCAAGCCGACATGTGAAAGATGGGCCAGCGTGTGTGTGCGTGCGTGTGTTACTGTGTGTGGAGTGACCAATGCAGAAAAAAAATTTTCCTAGCGACTATTTCATTGCATTATTTTAGTAAATCAGTCTGTATTCGTGTAATCTGTTCGATTTTTTTTTATCTGCAGCTTAAAAATTCAACATAACGCTCTTCTTTCAGGACAATGTCACACAGCCTCGGGCTCTGATTTAAGCGTAATTATACTAATTGCCGTGGATTTATAAGTTATAGGCTACAGCACTAAAGATTGCCTTGGGGCCGGAGCTCTGTGTGCAGGGCGTCAATTCAGCAGCACTGAAAATCAAGCAGGAGATGAATGGGGATAATTAACCTAAAGTCAATTAACAACTTGTAGCCTAATGTTAAACAGAAAGAATTTCCTTGACACCTTTCTAAAAAACGCTCAAATATATCTAAATAATAATCTTCATTTGTCACAAAACTCCGTGTAATTTACTGATAACATTGAACACTTTTAATCGATTAACGTGAGTAAAAGACACTCCCGATGTTAGGCTGCTGTATCACTGGTGTTATTGGGGACCTCGGATGGTCGACGAACTGCACTTTTGAAACACATTTTGCCGAAGACTTCGTGGAGTGTGAAAGGCAACAAAACTCCACTTTAACAAACAAAACAATGTCACGTTAAAAAGACCCTTAAAGCAAATTTTACGGTTTTAAAATAAGACAACAGGAATACGATCATTGCAGTGGTCCAACTTCGTCCCAGCAAACTTCTTACCTCTCTTCTCTCTGCGTATCTGAAGTGAAATATCTCCACTAAGCAGCCCGAATATTTTCCTTTCAGATCTCCTTCTCTAAAATCCGCAGGCGGTTGTTCATGTTTTCATTTCATTAGTTATTTTCATTCACTTGTGACATCCTGAGAAGGTCCCGGTCGCTCCGCTCCGTCCTCCGGCTCGCCGCTCTGTGGATGTGGGAGGATGCTGAGCTGCCATCTATTGGCCTTTAAAGCGCTGCGGGTGGGGTCACCGGGGCGCTCAGACGCTCCTTCTCTGTGCCAATCACGTCGCTTTCCTCCTCCATCACCACCACCACAGCCCCTCCGCCTTCCTCCTTCACAGCAGTCCTCATTTCATTTTTCTGCATGTGAGGTGCCGACTTTTGTGCTGGCGTTGTTGTTGTTTTGGACGAAATAAAATAGGCTACATTTTTGTGTTGTCTTATTTTTTTGAAGGGATTTTTCTTTAAAAAATGAGAATTAGTATTCTATTCTATTATTATTATTAAGCTCACTGTTTTTATTTTCGGATAATCGGGTTTCTATTTCGTTTTGAGGATGCAGACTGACGCTAAAGGAGAAGCTCCACCTATAAATAGCATATAAACTTTTTAAATAAATCTCAACATGACAACATGTATTTTAAGGTATTCCAAATAATTATTTAAGGTATTCCAAATATCCCAGTTAACCTATAACAGCCTTGCCCTTATTCATATTTATGTGATATAATTTTAAAAAATGAGGGTGAATCTAAAATGTGTTACTCAATAGGAGCTAAAGCCAAGTTCAAAGTGCATTTATGTTTTTTCTTGTCTTTTTTTTTTTCATAAATATTTTTTGGAAAAATATTTTTTACGAAAAGGCCTTGCTACTGATTCCTTCTTTTAACCACAGTAGTTTTTAATTGTTTTTCCAACTCTCAAAATATTCTCAAATGGCCATTTGTTGTTGGCCAATAGGCAACTTTTTAGATGGCTTTTAGCAACCATAACAAATCAGAAAACTAATTATATCCTCTAACTACATATTTACTTTAGCAGATCTTCAATGTCTTTAAGCAAATAGGAGCGTTTTAAAAGGAAACCCAACTCATTAAATGCTTGAATTCAGCCAAAAATGCCTATAACACAGGTCTTAATTAAATGATATGCAAATAGTAAGTAATGGCCTATACTAGCCTACTCTCTTGCAGTGACTTGTGCAAGGTTAATTCCTTGCTTTAATTTTATTTCCCTCCTGCCTCGATGTGACTGCATTTTTGGTGGGAATGCAGCTGAGATGGAGAGATGCAGGCTGGGCTACACTGCTGCCTCCAGCAGCTTCCCGGCCCCGAGGGATTTAGGTTAGGATTGGGTAGACAAGACGCCATTTCACCCTCCAAAAAAATGTCTTAAAATGACTGCTGGTAAGAGGATTAAAACAATAATGCCCCTCTCTTCTTCAAGGTTTTTAGAAAAGATTTCTTCTCCCGAAGAAAAACCGTTTAGGCTGGAATTAAGGGCAGCGAAAAGTAGCCTTTTAATGTAAAGCTTGCATATTTTGCCGAATTTTCTCCTAAAGAGTGAGAGAGAAAGAGGAAGGTGGGCTGGAAGTTGTGGTGTTAAACCCCAATGGGCTACTCCATTTCTTTGGCCACATTCATTTGCAGGACTCCTGACAACAGCCTGCATGAGAAGAAAATGTTAGACTCTTAAACGTGTTTGCCCAAAATTCACCTTATACTGTTCAAGTATTGTGCTCACCTTTATTTTCAGTTTTAATTGAGTTTCTTATATACAGCTGGGAAAATCCAAAATATGAAAAAACAGAACTGAGTGAATGAGTTTACTGTGCGTTTTAAAGCAACAAGTGGATATCAGTGCGTAAATGGATGGGATACAACGATATATTTTTCTAATGTTGTTTTTTTATTTTTTTATTCCGACCTTATGTCTTCTGCTTTTATTGTCAGTATAGCTGCAGAGCATTTGAGCATAGAGGAGAAAAAAAATCGGATTAACTTGTGAACTGATGGAAATAAGAACTTAAACTGGAGGTAAATCTGCCCAGTGTCTCTTTGTGGGGACCGTTTCTAAAGCAATTAAAGCGAGAAGGAATTCCTCCCAGCTGCTCTTCCTCAAATCAGCTTTTTTAAGGACCTTAATGCGGGCTAATGTCCAGCACGGTTGAGGGCTTTCATGCAAGTGTCAAGGGGGCCTGCTATTAGAGTGATATTAGGCCAGTGGAGCACCAGCCCCTCCTGACCCTGCAGGGTTGGAGCAGACAGCAAACTCACGCTGCCTCAGTGTTTATACAGCTTTTTCATTTTTAGAATGTGGTCAACTTTTGTACATTTAATCAGAACAAAATCTTAATGAAGTCTCAGACTGGTGAAGACCTATGGACTAATAATAATAATCAAAAGTCATAAATCTACAGTTTTCTGAATTGTTTACTTTGGAGTTGTGATGCCTAATTTTTTATGTTATGTTATCCATATACACTCCAGAGTGACTTTCTAAATCTAGGCATTTGTTTTATTATATATTCTAAGGTAAGGGAAACAATTAGGAAAAATTATTACATTTTTAAGCATGTATTTTAGGTTTTTAAACCCATTTAGATTTCAATAGACCTTTTGTAGCACTTCCCAAGACCTGTAAGTGAGTTGTATAAATGTTCTGACAACAACTGCAAACAACACCTATTTTCATAATCGATTTATTTGCCTGTTATTTTTGCGATTAATGGTTTGGTCCATTTCATGTCCCTAAAAAGAAAATATTGAAAATAAATGTACCAAAATGTCCCAGAGCTCCTGGTGATTCCAACAAATATCTTGTTTTGTCCAACAGTCCAAAACCCAAAGATAATTATATAAAACAGAGAAAAGCAGCAAATCCTCACACTGGATGAGCTGCAACCAGCAAACTTTGGTATTTTTGCTTGAAAATTACTTAAACAAAAAATCGATTATAAATGTTGTTTCCTATTAATTTTCTGTTAATTGATTAATCAACTAATTGCTGCACAGTTCTTCTGACTGTAAAAGACACAAACCATAGTTTCAGATCTGTTATTTGGCAGAACAATATTGGTGGTTTTGAGGCCTAATCATGATGATGATCCTGAATGCAGCCTGCAGTTTACCCATCTCTTTATTTACCATTTTCACACTGCTTCTCATCATGATCACCTTCAGGATCTCAGCACTGCTCTCTCCAGGCTAACTTTCTAAACCCCAAATTCATCTCAGATTTCTGTGGATTTCATTGGTGCACTCATTGTTCTCTTCACCCTGGCTGCATTCAAGCTTTATCATGTTAAAGCCTCTCCTCAGATCTGAGTTATCGTCTTTGCTCTCAATCATCCTCCCGCCTGCTTTCTGAATATCAAAACTTTATCCCTGCATCAGGACTTTGGCAGCCTGAATCGAAGCTCAGCCGAGGAAGCTGCAGCGATTTATAAATCATGTTCAGTTTTTAATCAGGTTTATAACGCATGAACGTTTGTAATTTTACCCCTCAAATGGCTCCCTATATTTCCAAGTAGCATTTTACATCAAATCGAGGAGAAAGTTGATGCCTTCAGCCTTCAGAGCCCATTAACTTTTATCATTACGTTTTCTTTAACTTCATGAATATATTAGCTTCCAATCCAGCTGCTCTGTCCCACACATGCTCTTAGTCAAGGTTAGCTTGTGCTCATTTGGGTGAAATTAATCATTTTGATGTATGGTTTAGAATTGACTGCTTCCTTGGGACTTGTGTGACTGGAGTAACAAAGCAAACTTGCCATTAGCAGTCCTCTGGCTGTGTATTAGCCGGACATTTACCTTTAAGACTTTCCTTATATGTGTTATATGTTGTGGTACCTGATTTAAATGGACACATCTGTAGCTCCACAGCCTCTTGTTTTTTTTCAGAAGTCCGTTATAAGATAAGATCACACAGACTCTTAAACACATCTAATTGTACACTACTCTCAGTCTCTGATTTATAGGTTGACATCTTTTAAATCTATATAAATCATCTATTAAAAACACCAAAGTCACAAGTATTGCAAGACAACATTCTCTTTAACTAAAGAAAAAGGCTAAAGCCTATTTACTGTTACTGTGACAACACAGACATCAGGCTTCTACGTTATGGAGTTCCACTGCAAAGTTGTGTTGTAACATGTTGAACATGTTAGAAAACAATTGCCAATTTACACATCAAGCAGACTTTAAGCAGCATTAGCATTCATTTGGAGTTGTGTTTCTTGCCACCCGACAAATAATAGTCTAATATTGCTCTCCTCTTTGCACTGGTTTGGTTTCCACCAACTGCCCAAGACAAATTTCCCTCAGGGGACAATAAAGTTGATCTTAATCTTAACTTGTTAGGAAAATCTTTAGCTAAATGCCCCAGTGTTTTCACCAGCTAGTCACTAACTTTGTCTGTCTGCAGTTTGGCTTTTTTGCAGAAAACAGCTGCCCGCTGATGCTGAAAACAACAGCAATGAGAACAGTGAGAGTGAACCAGAACAGTTAAGTTGCAGGCTGGGAAACCAAAACAATCAGCTGAAAAATGCTAAAACACTCTGTAGTACAGTAGCGGGGAAATGCTAAGTCAGGTAAAAATTGTCTGTACATCCGTGACCCCTGTAACATTGCACGGCTTTCAGTTAATTGGTAATATATATATATATATGCATCACACTCCTATAACATTGCTGGACTCACTTCTGTGTCAATCTGGGACCTACGCTACCCATAATGCAGCTTGACAGCTCACAGTTTGGTCAGAGACTCTGTGTAGTGCTGGTAGTGGCCAATGTAACCTGGAGCTGCTAGACTCAAGCAGAGAGGAGCAGTGGTCTACGGAGGTCCAGTAACCTTACTTCTAACTTCCAACGCCATACCCCCAGATTTTTTTTGGAGTTTTCAACCCCAACTGACCTTGCCTCAAGTGACATGACTTGAGGACATTTAGCAGACTTCACACAGCTCCCTTCGCAGCCATAAAATGCACATATGACTGTTTTTTAACATGTGCAGTAGCACTTCCCAAGACCTGTAAACAGACTTAGTTTTCTACAATTGTTTTCCCCTTTAAAAATGCATTTTTCATATTAAGCACTTTGGTAGAAATTGGTGTTGAAAGAATATACTAATTGGAACAGAGACACAGCAATTCTCTGTTAGGCTGACCACAAGTTGTTC